TCTCTTCCTTTTTATCCATACAACAACCCTGTGAGGTAGATCAGGCTGGAAGTATATGACTGGTCCAAAATTACGCAGTGAGCTTTCTCAGCAAGATTTGAACCTAGGTCTCTCAGACCCTATTCTGAAGCTCTAACTGCTACACCACACTGGCCTTCATAGTGCAACCGCTGCTGAACAGTAGCAAGCAGCCAGGACTAGTTGAGCCATGCAAATCAGGCAGTATCAAGTAATCCAATGGTTGCTGTCAGGCCTCGTGTTGCCAACCTCTAGGTGGGACCTGGAGATCTCCAGTATAACAACTGATCTCCAGACAACAGAGATCTTCCCCCCTTGAGAAAATGATTGCTTTGGAGGGTGGCCTCTATGGCATTATATCTGGCTGAGGCCCCTCCCCTCCCCAAATCCTGCCCTCCTCTATCCAAAAATGTCCAGGGATTTCGCAACCTGGAACTGGCAACCTAGCCAGGCCTGGCCCAGATGAGTCCTACCTCAATGGCCAAAACAGCCCTGGAAAGGAACCTGCCTCTTTCTTCTGCCTTTCAATCACTTAATCTCAGCCTGGAATGTTGTGGATGACTAGCAACCGCCACTAGGGGAGTCCGCTGGTTAAAGCTAGAGGAGCTTCTTTTATTGTTTTGGGTTTTTTAAAGCCCTTCAATGGATTCCCCTCCCCCCCCCCGATTTTATGTTTTTCAGCAAACCTGGGGCGTTTTGCAGGTTTGTAGGAAGATCTGTCTTGCCTGTTCACAGCTACAATCATCGGATTTAAGCATCTTTAGATTTGGCTGACTTTGCTAACAGAATATAAGATGATGATATCTAGGGCAAATGAGAAACTACATTTTTAAGTAAAGGTGCTGTAAAGCAAATGAACATACCATTTCTGACAGTAATGATCAGTTGCAAGCCGAGCCTCAGATCTCCTTGCCATCAGCTGATTCAAGCCACTGCTGAACAGCTCTGCGGGTGCACAATAGCTGAGATAGTAGAATTTTGTTTCATTTCCTTCTCTCTACGGACTACTCTTGCATTTGCAAAGCAGGTGAAAAAGATACGACCACAGGGTCATGGACAATGTTCCCTCTAAGCTACGGAGACTTGTGAGCAAAAATTCTACTTTGTGAGCTTTGTTGTCAAGCCCGACTCTTTGCGACCCCAAGGACCACATCACGCCAGGCCCTCCTGTCTTCCGTCGTGCTCCAGAGTTTGCTTAATTTCATGTTCGTTGCATCGATAACACTGTCTAACAATTTCATCCTTTGCCGTCCCTTTCTTTGACCTTCAATCTTTCCCAGCATCAGGGTCTTCTCCAGTAAGTGCTCCCTTCTCATTTGGTGGCCAAAGTATTTGAGCTTCAGCTTCAGTATCTGGCCTTCCAGGGAACCATCAGGGTTGATTTCTTTTAGGATTGACTGATTTGATCTCCTTGCAGTCCAAGGGACTCTCAGGAGTCTTCTCCAGCACCATAATTCGAAAGCATCTATTTTTTGGCGCTCGGTCTTCCTTATGGTCCAGCTCTCGCAGCCATACATAACTACTGAGAATACCATTGCTTTGACCATATGGAGCTACTGACATTAAAGTTGTGAGTGAGCAATTTGGCTACTGCATAAATTAGCTTGCTCTGGAGCCATCCTTCCTGAGCTAAGACAAAAATGTATGAGCCGGAAGCTAAAAAACTTGAAGCTTGCTCACACTAACTCAGCTTAGCGGAAACACTGGTCCTGGATGGTCAGGCAATTAAATTATGCTTAGGGGGAGGGCATTCAACTCTCAAAAGGCTGTGCAAAAATGCACATGCATGACCCACAAGCAACTGGGAGGAAACCAGTCTGAATGTGGACCAAAAGGGCTTATATTAGGGTATTATACCTGCTGCTGAGGTCCCTCCCTTCCCCAAACGCGGGCCGTCCCCAGGGTCTTCCCCCAGATCTCCAGAGATTGCCCAACCTGGAGCTGGCAACCATAAGGAATGAAAAGGGCTGGTTTGGACCCAAGCTCTGTGCAGCCCCGTTGGGGCCTGCCTCCTGCCCTTGGCCAAGATGCACTGCCTGTTGCCGCCACCTTCTTCAGCCAGAGTGCATTGCTGTGTCTGCTGCCTGGGGTGCTGGAAAGATGACTGGCTGTTCATGTGCAGCAGGCAGAATCTCTTTGGCCTCACCTCCCTGAGCCCAATCAATGATACTAAGAGTACTGCATTGTATGTAATGTAATGTGTACTGCACAGTGTGCTACTAAGAGTATTCTGTATTCTATGTTATGTGTACTCCACAGTGTGTGACCTGTATGGCCTAAAGGACTATTTTGTTTTTAAAGAGCTATTTGGTCCACTGTAATATTAAAGATATATTTTGTTTAATCTTTTTTAATATATGTTTGTATCCCCAATCTTTTAGGTATCCAAATCAATTTCTGGGTTGGGTTGTTGCCCCTTATTTTGTGTTGATTACATTTTATAGCACATATGGCCTGGCCTGACACAGTGACATTTATGTCCAATCTGGCCCTCGTAAGAATTGAGTTCGACACCTAGTCTAACACATATTTAGATGAACACCAAATGGTAAGATTTATTTTACAATGGTAATTTAGAATTACTAGCGTCTCCCACATAACATCTGGGCCTCCCACTGGAGCTAGCTGGGGCACGGCACTTGCAATGGCAACTGCAGAGGCTCAGCTCACGTGAGGCACTAATCTTGCCCAAGGGAAATCAGTGCCTCTCAGATGAGGCTGAGATGTTGCAGTTACCACAGCAATGCTTCCATCATATTAGTGCTGTGGTCAGTCTCTGATGTCTCACTAGGGATAAGAAGGTGGGGATCAAATTATGCATGCCAGGGCTGGAAATGGCATGTAGCCCTCAGGACATATATTCTGCACCTCTGCTGTACAGTAATCATATTCAGCTCTTTTTTTAACATGGAAAATGTTTAGGCCAAAATCCAAACAATCTATATGCATGCACGAGCAACAACATGCAAAGTTGTTTCAACATTTTTATGGCAGTAGCTCCCACTGTCTAAGTAGCACACCAGTTTTAAAGTTCTTTAAAACGTTTGCCTCTTCTACTCTCAAGGTATGAAAACCTTGCATATGACCAAGAGCTATGTCTACAGCAGAAAATTGTGTTCAACTATTTTTTTAAAAATTACAGACTTGATTCTTAATATTTGGTTGTTTTGGTTGTTAAGGACAAAATCTGACCACCTAAACAACAAATCAAACTAGAACAGCAAAGCATAAGGCTGCGTTTCTGCCAGCTGTTTGTCACAGGATCTGTTACTGATTCCTATAAGTAGGTTCTGGTCTGCTCTGCGTTGCCTTCTGTCAACATCACTAGGGTGTGCAAAAAAAACCCCCCAACACAGTGATCCTGAAAAATATGTATGGTATTGGGATTCAGGAAATATTTGGGGTTCCTGAAATTTTTTGGGAACTCACTGCTTGGAGAAGATGTTTAAATGCTTTCTGCAAACAGTGCCGCATGAATGGAGTCCCAAGCAGCAAGTTCACTCCATGGAGTTCCAAGCAGCGAGTTCTGGGTGAACACATTCCCTTTAAGTGCTTTTTGCAAGCCATGCAGCGGATCGGCTGGGGCAGCATGGAGCTGAGAGTCTTGGCTGGGGCTGACTCTCAGTATAACTGAACAGACCCCCCAAAAAAGCTGAAAAAATCCAGCTTTTGGGGGGGCTCAGCTTATACCGGTACTCAAGTACTGACCTCTGATACCTGAAAAATACCGATAACATGTCTTTCAGGTATTTTTTCTGTTTGATTATGCCAGCAGTTTGCATCAGTTTGATTCTGATGCAGCTGTCCACTTCCATACCCAAAGTGGGTGTAAAGTGCCATCGAGTCACAGCCAACTTATGGTGACCCCAGAGGGGTTTCAAGGCAAAAGAAGAAAAACAGGTTGCTTACCTTTAACTGATGATCTTCGAGTGGTCATCTGTGCAGTCCCACACATGGGTTGGGCGCCTGCGCACAACCTCGACCAGAGAAACTTCTAGAGCTTTGCCTCAGAAAGATTTTTGGCAGGCTCTCTTCCCGCCTTGGGGAGCAGGCACGTACTGCACATGCCTGGAGTGGGGGAGAGAGCCACCACCCACTCAGTTCCTTTGACCGCTACCGGTAAGTCCCATCAAGCCAAAGAAAGGTGAACAGGAGATGCCAGCAGTGGGGAAGGCTGGGTGGGATTGTGGTACTGCACAGATGAAATTTATACTTAGCTGAGGCAACAATGGAGCAACAAAACCGAGGTGTGAACACACAGGCGGTCGAAGAAGAACTGAGTGGGAGGTGGCTCTCTCCCCCACTCCAGGCATGCGCAGTACTTGCCTGCTCCCCAGGGCGGGAAGAGAGCCCGCCAAAAAGCTTTCTGAGGCAAAGCTCTAGAAGTTTCTCCGGTCGAGGTCGTGCGCAGGCGCCCAACCCATGTGTGGGACTGCACAGAGACCACAACGAAGATCATAGGTAGTTTGCCTCTGCTCAGCATCTCTTAACTTCCCTCATAGTCTCCCATCCAAATACTGACCAGGGCTGACCCTGCTTAGTTTCTGTGACCCAATAAAGCATGCTTAATTTGTGTTTTTAAAATATTTGTTGCTAATTTCCAGAAGTTGGTATTATCAATTACTTTTACCTTTGCTGACCTAATACTTCAATATTACCATACATACATAATCACATGACTTCAGAACAGTTTGGTGGTAGTGTCTGAAAATATCAGAAGTTTTGTGATAGGATGACAATTATTACGTCTTTTTTCACGGAAGAATCTGAGTGATACCAAGTTACTAACAAGAGCAGGAATATTGTTTGGAAGTGGTCCACAGAACTTAGTTAGGAAACACAGAAGATCTCTCAGTACTACAGCCATATTGGACACATATTAGGCTGGCCAACCTCACTGACCATGTCCTGCTGAAAAAATAGGCACATACTGCCAAAGGAGTTTACAGAAATAAAAAGTCACATTCTACAATGGTTCTTACCTGGCGTTTGATTATCTGAAATACAATTATGTCGCCAAAAGTTAATGGCAGCCCTCTCTCGGTTCTGCAGTCTATTCAGTCGTTCTGCTAGTCCTCCTCTACAAGGAACAAAGGATTACACAATCATACTGAGATCAACTTTTTAACCCAAACACTACAAGGTAGATGTAAAGTAGATTCCTTACAGTGAATGAGACACTGTAAGACCCACTTGCACAAACTGATGCAAACATAATCAGTATCTTGAACAACTTCTATTTAGTAGAAACTGCATTCCTATACTATTTATCTCCTGTGTTCCAGGAATAAGGAGAGGAGCAAATCCGAAAGCAGCACAAGAGAACTCTCTGGGTCAGTGCAACTCTCTTTGTGAAGGGTGTAATTTCAGCCACAATTCTCTGTTGAGTATACTTTGACCATTAGCCTACAGCACAGTACTGGAAGATGTGTGACCATTGGCAAGGAGTGTGTCCCAAAATACTTTTTACACATACTTGACCTCTTGATTCATTTCAGAAGCTGGGTCAAGTGTGCACTTTAAAGCAGGTGAGAAGTTGTTCATGGCTGAAATAGTTCAATATTTGAAACTGAGAAAGGGAATGGCATGCAATGCAAATATGCTTTAGGTACTATTGTAGCAGTGCTAGTATCTACAATTCAGATCTAAAATGATGGCTACTCTGTGACTTCATGTGATAATGTAACAGGCAGTGGTAGGTGGTTCACATGTAATGCCCAGTTACAGCCTCCCCTCTTCATTCACACTTATTCCCTCCTGATGACATGTTGAACTAATGCTTCTACTTATAATGTAAAAGTTCAGGTGAGGTCATGTTTGAAATTCCCTCAGTTTTGAAGGGGGTGGCATCAGTGTTTTCTTGGCTGAGGCCCATCATTATTGTCCTAAGGAAGCCAATCAGTGTACCTGCCTACAGGCATTTAGAGGCATAGACAGGCTTTCAAGAACTGATACACTTCATCTGACTTTAGCTATGCTATATTGAACGAAGCATCTGATATATATTGCTTATATTGAAACAATGTAACACATTATCATTTTGTTTTATTTTTATTATCTATAATTTCATTTTATTAGACATCTGCCTTTTAAAAAATTGTTTCATATACTTTGCTTCTAAGCTATTTCACTTATATATAGCACAAACTGTTCTTTGCAGCTAAGAATACTATTTTTTAAAAAGTTTCATAATTTCAGTAATCATGCATTTGAAAAAACAGCTAAAATTGTAACAAATAGAAACCCCAAAAAGCATATGTGTTATTTGGAAATAACAAGACTGGAGAAGTTCAGAATATTTTATAATCACATAGACCCTCTTCTTAACCAATTAATCATCAGCCCAAAGAGAGTTATGAAAGAAACTTGCAAACACTACATAAATGTGTCTGCCTGTCTCCTCCTAGCCCCTTTCCTGTGTATAAAGGTAGATAATACGTGAGCTGGTACTTTAAAGTATATTGCACTAAGGTAGCTTGCAAAGAAATCTAAACAACAACATACAGGCTCAATCAAGGCCTAGCGTAGCCATTCAGCACTGCCATTCAATACCTTGATATTTTCCTTCTTAAAGTTTGCAATAAAAAACTACTTACAAATATTTATCACTACCAAAAATCCTGACTGCAAGCCCATCAGCAATTTACAATATAAGAAACTTTTTTTCAGAAATCTTACCCTAAGTTAGACCATGCACTGAGTGCAAAGAAGGAATGTTACTTCAAAGCTACAAATCAAGGTCCTAATTTCACAGTGATAAAAACAAATGTTAGGGTCAAAACAGACATGACACTCGGGGTTCCACATTTGGAGCTCCCAAGCATTTATTTTTTTAAAAAATAGGAGGTAATGGGGACCTTAGCACAGGGGGAGGAAGGACAGATTTTATCCTATCCTATGACAATGCTTTCCCAACAAACAGTCTCAAGGAAGTACTACTTACTCACCCTGTTGGATCAAACATACATTCACTCTGTATGCTTCATGTATCTTTGCCACAACTGGCCAAATATCAGCACTATGGGGCCATTTTAGATTAGGAAAACAGCATGAACTAGCTCACTGTGAGTGGAGCTTTGTACCAGGCTACTCCATGACTTCATGTGATAATGTAACAGGCAGTGGCAGGTGGTTCACATGTAATGCCCAGCTACAGCCTCCCCTCTCAATTCACACTTATTCCCTCCTGCACTTTTCTTTCACTATAAACTATGGTTTCTATTACATCTGAACTGGCAAACTATACATTGCATTTGTCCTTCAAACAAAACCTGGAAACCATGGTTTGATCTTTGTTTCCAAGCCTGGTTGAGCACAATCACATTACAGTGTGCTGGTTTGGACATTAAAGCAAACAATGGTATACCTAAACAGAAAGCATGGAGAAGAGAACTGGAGGACACAAGGAGAGGAAGGAGCACACAAGCCTAAGACTCCCTCACACAATACCAAATGATACTACATGTAAATTGGCTCACTTTGGACAGTAAGTGCTTCTCCCATCCTGCATAACCTCTGCCCCAGTTCTCAGGGTAGTTTTGCAATGGTTAAAAAATCACTTTAAGGAGAAGAATGTACATATAAATGGGTCTTTTTAAAGAGAAAGAAAAAGATGGGCTGTCTGCATGAGCCGTGAGGAGAGAGGCAAAACTTACTGCTTAACCACTCTGCAGCACTGTAAAGCCAGGAGGAAGGCAAGTTCACACCACAGATGAACAAAATATAAGCCTTCTTTTAGATCACTCTTCACTTTGAGGCTATCTAGTCCTCTCACATGTTCATCACCTTGGTTTTCACCTGGTGATTTACTTGTTTGAAAGCACATGTGTGTGGAAATCTCACATGGCATGGCTTTGAGCACAAGAGTTCCCCAATTACACCATCATCTCACACAGGCTACATTTTTTGTATCAGGAAGGTTTCAAACAAATACTTACCGACATGAAAAAAGAAATGGGATAGTTGCAATAGGAGATTGTATCTAAGCAATTAAATATTTGATTGTTTGGGGTGGGGACTACTTGTGTGAATGCTTTGACAAACTACAGAGATATTGTGATCTCAACTCACCATCTCGTAGAGAACTTCTGAAATTTAAGTTGAGCTTGCAGGGATGATTCATAATGTTCACTTTTATTGCACAACCCTTCCTTTCCAAAACAACGCTGTCAGATATTTAACCCTTATGTGGATGTCTGCAGTGTTGAAGTAGTACTGGTTAACATGAAATATTACATTTAAAAATTCAGATATACATATACCTTAGTAATTTTCGTTTCTTTGCAGAATCATCTAGACTCTTCAAATTCTTGTCTATCTTTTTCTTAGGTGTTTGCAGAACAGCCTGAGCAGATTTTAACCAGTCAGTTGCAGATCTTCCAGTATCCAGCTCAGACCCTGCTCCAAAACTTAACTGGAGATTTTTTGGCAATTCTAAATTAGCTGCCGTAGTTTCTATTTGGCATTCATCTACATTTTCATTGTCTGAGGAATATTCAGAAATTTCTATAGATGTTGTCTGCAAAAAAGCAAATACAGTACGCTTACTGCAAGAGAAGCAAACCAATTGTCACAGAGTCACCAAGAACAGAAAACCATACAATTGGATTAACTACTAGTAACGTCCTATATAATCTACCTTGACAAAATGATTTTGCTTTAGTTTGTACTGCTGCAAAGTTCTTTCTATATCAGAAAGTCAGCACAGTGTAGTGCTTAAGAGCAGAGGACTCTAATCTGGAGTACTAGGTTTGATTCTTCACTCCTCCACATGAAGCCTGCTGGGTGACCTTGGGCCAGTCACAGTTCTCTCAGAACTCTCTAAGCCCCATATACTCACAAGGTGACTGTTGTGGGGAGAGGAAGGGATGTTGATTGTAAGCCACTTTGAGACTCCTTAAGGTAGAGAAAAGCAGGGTATTAAAACTAACTCTACTTGTACTAATGAATATGATAATTAGATGGCTCAGTAGTAGAAGCTCTGCTTTACCTACAGAAGATCTTAAGCACAATCTCAGACATCACCAGGTAAAGGATCCCAGTTACCAGGCACTAGGAAAGACCTCTCTTTGTACAAGACCCTGAACACTTACTGCTAGTAAGGAGAGACAGATACAGAACTGCATGGAGCAATGATCTGACAGTATAAAGCAGATATGTTGCATATATCTCCATGATGTTTCAGACAACCAAGGTTCATGGGGGGAAAGTGAGCAAACCTCCCCCCCCAACAAAATACCACCTCTGAAAAGAAGAAACCCCACTGAAGTTCTAGACTAAGTGGAATGACTTTTCAATTTAAGCATCAAATTTCATTTTGTCATGGAGACACACTCCAACTTTATTATAACTTTAATCATAAAAACGTGTGTTCCATTTACATGGAGAAGTGGACCAGCCAGTATTTCTTAGCCCTAAGGGTAATTCTTTCTTGGTCTTCTTTGTGCATCTGCCAGGGAAGGATGCCTGCAGTTCAACAATCATCCTATTGGTATATATTCACCTGAGCCAGATTTCCTTGCCAGTAAGTCTGATACAAACTACAAAAAACTTGCCCAGAGGTAAATGACTGCTCATCCATTTGTCCATTGGCTGTTTTTTTATCATCCCAGGTTTTTTAAATCAACTCAGAAAACTGTCCACCCCTGTTAAGTGTGGCCACATATAAGCAGAGATTCTTACCGCATAAATGTATCAACTGTTGTAACATGGGTGCAGGTAAACAACTGATAAAAGGATGGATCCTTACAGGATTTCTTTCTCACTATCTGTAATTAGTGGGCTGCTGCCCATTACTAAGACCAGTTGACCACTAAAATAATCCAAACCAGGTGCTTAAGATACTACAAATAGAAAAGGGCACAGATGTGGGGATGAGTATCACTTGTGCCCCCCAGTCGATCCATACCACCACAGAGACACTGGCAGCATTGCTGTGGCTTAAAATATTCCTAACCATGAGCAGTATAAGAGGAAGCTGCATGTTTAGCACATCTCAGGTCTGAGCCAAGACCCTTCAGGTGGTAATGTTCCAAGCAAAACAGAAGACAGTGACAAGTATACTCTCCACCCTTTATCCCCGTGTCCAGAGATGCACTCCTATGATTCTGCTAGCAGAGTGAGGCTCAACTTGTCCATGTAATAAGCAGCATATTAACATGCAGCTGCCAAATACTCTGAATCAGACTGCCCAGTATTGATTGTAGTGAGCTACTTTAAGCTTGGAGGGGTCTCTCTATAGGCCCACAACCTTGCACTATGAATGAGACCGGCACAAGGCATTGTTTTATATTGTAATCAAGAAGACACATCCAGTCTTCTGTCCCATATTTTATTACTAAAATTATTACAGGCTTGACAGCATTAAACCAGTGACTATCATCGTCACTAATTATTTTTCCTTCTCATTTTGCTCAGTGCAAGAACCTGAAAACTATGGAAAAATATCAACCTGAGGACTGAACACCCCACTTATAGAAATGATAGTCACCTCCTTTGGACTGAAAAGCTACTTCAAAAGGGCTTCATTAGGAGAAGAGTAACAACACAGAAAAGGCTCTTAACCCTTTCCTTGCTCAAAGTATTCCACATCAAGCAGGTCTCCCCCCCCCCATCATGGAGTTTCAAATACACTCCTAGTCCTTCCTTCCCAGCGTGGCTTTTCATACCAAAAAGGAGAGAGGAGGGGGATCTTATGCTGCCATCACACTTGTACGCATTTCACATGCAGCTGACCCTCAAGTTTTCATTATTCTGAAGAAAGGTTTTAGACTCCTTAGTTGTGGAGCCTTGCCTAAAAATTTGCAGCCACTCATTTGAAGAATCAAGTTTCTCCATTCATTCCCAATGGGGGTGATCTATAATGTGCACAATGATATGAGTTTACACAGAGCTCTGGATTGGGCATTATCCTCTAAATCTGGGGGCTGGAGATTATATTGGATCCAGGCAGCTTCTTCACATAATTTTTCACCTAATGACAGCTAGGGTGGTATAGTGGTTGAAGTGTCAGTAGGATCTGGGAAATCCAGGTTCGAACCCCCACTTCTGCCATGGAAGCTCGCTGGGTGACTTTGGGCCAGTCACACACTCTCCGCCTAACCTACCTCACAAGGCTGTTTTGAGGATAAAATGGAGAGAACAATGATGTAAGCCACGTTGAGTCCCATTGGGGTGAAAGGCAGGATATAAATAAATAAATTCCCCACCTTATTACAGACCCCATCCCATATGCCTTTTGTCCATGCAGGTCCTATGACCCCCCCCCACCCAATATAGCTTTTGGGGGAGACTTACAGGATCCCTCTCCCCTTTTCACCAGCTGATAACCTGACTGAAGCCAGCTTAGTTTGTTGAGTGACCACAAGCCACTCCATCAGAGCCTCTCACTAATTCTGTTCAGCTGTTATATATCCAGTAGCTATTGCTTGTCTTACACATTTAAAACAATGCAATTCAAAATAAAGTGCAAGAAATTGAGATAATATATTAAAATAAGCACATTTTCCCTGCTGGTGTAGTAGAATTTTATTTTCATTAGAACTGTCTGTTTCGCCCTTTAAACAGAACCTTTAAAGTTTTTAACACCCAAGTACCCTCCCCCCCAACCCCATCCCTTGTTTACATATTTTCTTATAGCTTGGCAGTTTTCCAAAAAGTTAAACACATCCAATATATACAAAACATTGCTTAAATTTGCATAATTTAGCTTTAACACATAGAATGTAATTAAACATAACTTTTCATAGCAAAGCACTGGGAGAAATATTGGCACACAATACAATGTAGCATTGCTTTAGGCAGAAACCAGCAACAGAAGAATCTCTGCTAGGCCATGCTTGCCTCTCACTTGGTTTTGGCAGTGTCCTTAAAGTACTATACTGCTTAAATGAGATCCTTACAACGTATGATTTCTATCTGAACTGTAATCTCATTTATTTTATTAAAATGCATTCAGAAAACTAATGGAAATCTGTCCCAATTTACATCTTGCTGATAATTGCATGTTTAGGTTTTCATTTCTGATACATGAACTAATCTGGTATTTCTACATACTAACAGTATAATCCTAAAGGGAGTTACGTCCTTCTAAGCCCATTGACTTCAATAGACTTGGAAGGGTGTAACTATGCTCAGGATTGCACTCTAGCAGTGCCAAAACAAAATGTTTAGTTTCTTAGATTTCTTCCTAATCTAGGCCACTCTTTGACTTATACTCATTATTTGACAAATACTAAGCATATGAAGTTTAGTAAGATTGTGTGATTGAACCTGCTTCTAATGTGTTATAAAGATGATGTTTAAAATACTCATCCAAAAATCCTAAGCTTTTAAAATCACTGGTTTGACAGCTAGTTGTGCCTTTGTTCAAAAGGAAGCAGCGATGAGAGCTTCTGGGAGCCTCCTAAAATTCCAGAAAAGGCAACAACCCCCCAAAAAACAGCTTACCAGGTACTTTCCCCAGCTATATCAATCTGTGCAACACCCAATTAGTTCTCCCCCCATTTTCTTCTACAAGTTGCCTCTCAGGTTCACAAATCAATTTTTACTTCACATATGACACTTTATGTTTTTGCATAACCTGGGTTCTTTGTAGGGTATTCTTCCACTTTAGTTCTTACAAAAATGAACCAGTCTTCTCTTGGCAACCCCATACTTTGATTTCATTTGTGGATCATCTCGTTTCTCCTCAGTTTTGATGCTCATCCTATTTTTCTCTCAGTCGCTTGAGTCCATACATCATCACTATATTCTCGTAATTAATTCCTTTTGTTTTTTCATCACCTACACCAGGGGTGTCGAACTCATTTGTTATGAGGTCCAGATCTGACATAAATGAGACCTTTTTGGGCTGGGCCATGTGTGTCATAAAATGTAATGCCAGATAGCGGAGATATAAACTTTATAAAGGAGATATAAACTTTATAAAGGACACAAAGGGTTAATCATCCTACTTGCAGGGACCTGCCATTTTAAATTCTGACTGGACCCCAGGTCTTTGTAAATCAAATCAGGAGGAAAAAGGGAGTGGGTGGGATAAAAAGACAAAGCTGCCTTTGAACCCCAAGAATTTTGAATCATATATGGGGGCAGCACCCTTCACACATTGTAGCACCTTCAGAAACAGTGGCCAATTCTCATTGTTTTATTAGCTTTTAAAAATGTTATAGCTGTGCTTGTAGTAATAGCTTTAATTAGTTGACAATATATATGTGAAGGACTAAAAATGATGTAATTATCACATGTATTATTAGAACATTTGTTCTTTGTTACAGTATGGTTCTTTGGATTATGGATTGTTGTCCTTCTAAAATGGGTATGAATAAGTTAGAATGAATGAGTTTGCAGATGCATGTTCATCACTTCATTATCAAATGACAACTTATCTGGGCAACCTACATTTTAGAACTAATCAGTATGTTTGATTAAAGGCAGGGGACAAATAGTAAATTTTTCAATGTGTTAAACATTAAAAAAGAATATTGTGCATGTGTGATACGGTCTGAACACATGAAGCTGTCTTATGTTGAATACTGACCCATTAAAGACAGTATTGTCTACTTGGACTGGCAGAGGCTCTCAAGGCAGAGTTCCTTCATCACCTCACTATCTGATTCTTTTAAGCTGGAGATGCCAGTACTTGAACCTGGTTCCTTCTGCATGCCAAGCAGATGTTCTACCATTGAGTCACTTGCCCCCCTCATCGTCTGGCATTTTGAAAATTTTGATATCCCATAATACTTATTTGAATTGCACATCATATGTTGTAGGGTTACAGTAAACTTGATTTTTTTAAGAAAACAGCATTGATTGTAATAGAGAAAGTTTTACTGCTGGATTTTTAAAAAACAGAGTATGATTAATTCATTTTTATATTTTATATTGCCTCATAATCATAAAGTTCCCAAGGTGGTACAAAAATTTAAACACAAATCACAGAAACAAAACTTTAACGACATTTTACTGAACTAATGTGCAAATATATATATCATGACAGATCTAACCCCTAAGACAAATACAAGACTTTTCTGTTGTTCCAGCCTGAGAGCCCCTACACGGAAACAAATCCCCCTCCTGAGTTCCCTACACTCCTAGGATCTATGCAGTCAGAGGTATAGCCCAGGAGACTTCATCCTGCATTAAACCAGAGAATCATGACAGGAATTAAATTAAATCCCAGTTCATGACAGGTGAGAAACTCAACTCTTAATCAAGGGCTCATCTTGTGACCTATGGGATCTCCCCACAGACAGGCCAAATGAATGACCAGTGTTTGCAGTCATATTTCTCACATATCTTTACACAAGCATATATGCAATCAGGTTGTGATAATCCTGACTGGATTGACACAGACATTAATTTTCAAATAAAAATATCAAACTATATTCTAGGAATCCATACTTCTCTAATCTATGAACTACATTTTAAGACTCAAGCACACTCCCACCATTCTTCTAATGTTATATTCTGCTAGCCAGACTACTGGTAATCGGAATTTCCCTCTAGGTTGGGACTTGGTCAGTGCTCCCCTGCCTAGCTGACGAATAGCCACTCTATTCAGAACTGAAGAGAAATGTTAGCAAAGCCAGTGCAAAGAGCAGGACGATTTCTTTTTCTGCATTATAAAACTCAGTTTGCTAGATAATCATACCTCTGCAGAAAGCTCTGCAAATCTCACTTACATTCGTTGTTAAACTAGTCCTGATGATTGGTGATCTCACATCATTCAGGACAGGGAATGTCAAAGATACAAATATTAAAATGTTATATTTATCTCATTCATAGTAATAAATACATTACAGGGTATATATAAACTTACAGTAAGAAATATGACGTAAATATTTTATATATCTCCAATCTTTAATTCATATTAAATACAAGAATAAAAAATACAGAAGTTTTCCATTTCTTTGACTCTTGATCAGCACAACAAAAATTCAGTAGACTGTTAACAGGGACAGTATAACCAAGTCAGTCAGCCCACGGCAAGTGAAGGAAAGCATCAATAAGACTTAAAACGAAACTAAAACTAAGAACAATTCCAGACACTTTTTCTCCCCCATATCAGAATCACTCAATTAAACATGGATGCTTTCTACCTTCTAAACCCTTTTTATACAGAGGCTTAGGGTAAAGAGGAAAATTCAGGTACACACCCAAATTTTCATTCTTCGTTGGTTCTATGCAAGGTACTGTGAGTGACACCTGCTTTCTTCAAAGTATAAAACCACAAAAAGGCAACAGTCAGATTGTAAAAGATTAAACAGTAATGCGTGGGCAGTGCCAACCATGATGATAAACACAACGAAATAATAAGACTGATATATCTGCAGGGTTTTTTCCCCCTCAGAACAGCAAGCCCAGACAGTAAATTAATCTACTGCAAAATAATTCTGATAATGATAAGAAATGTTCATATCCCACATGCCCTTTTTGCACTACAGAGTGCTCTCCTTCTAACCCCTGCTTTAAACGAAACAATGGCAGACTCAGATTTAAACAAATTGTTCTTCTGTATTCATGCCTAATTGGGCCTCAAGACCAGTACAGTAAAGTACTGGCTACTATGGGCTGCTCGTTAGCCACTAATTCTTTGAAAAGGGGGTGAAGAGTGAGGAAAAGTATAGTCTGACTCACCAAATATACTGCCTACTGTTCAAACTTTTATTAATGATCACTACCAATTGTTACAGAGAGGAAAGGATTATACTATGCTGGGAAAGACCAGATTCTTAAAGAGGTTTTTTAAAAAATGTTACGTTACAGTAATTTTCACAAGACCACCCAACTATTCGTGACTACAAAGTCTGAAGCAAGTCCAGTGCTCTGTCTATTATACCATTGGAGTTCCCAGCCTCCCGGCAAAGCCGGTGAGGTCCGGGGGCTTTTTTGCTGCCTCGGAGGAGCCGGGGCAGCAACAGAAGCATGACGCACGGCGTCATGACGTGGACGGGGTGGGCGGAGCTGGCTTGGCTAAACCACCGGGCTCTGCTCCTGCCTGTCACAGTTGTAGACTCGTGCTCGGTAGCCTCGTTGGGACGAGGCTGTTGGGCCTATATGAGCCCCAAGGAGGCATTGAGGCAGAACGGAGGTAGCAGCGACCTGATCGGCGGGTCGGCGGCTTGGTCGCGGCGGCACGAAGCGGCATTTTGGCCCAGGATCTGGGCAGCGGCTGAGGACTACAGCGGCCGGCTTGTTTCGGCTTCGACCTTTTTTCTCACGGCGAAGAGCTCTGGCGGCCCTTGAACACGGTTCCAGGGCCGCACAGATAAGCGATTGCCCACCTCCTCCCAATTTGGGCTGGCAGCTGCAGCGCTGATTAGGGTGGCAGAAGTGTCCCTCTTTGCTCACAGGGACAAATAACATTGTTGATTTGTCTGGGAGAGGGTTTCTTTGAGGGTCTGGGGTGGGACCTTTAGGTCTGAGTTGGCAGTTAGTGCTGCCCTATCCCCCCCCCCAGAGGCCAAAATATTAATACTGATAAATGGGTGGGCAAGCACGAGTCAGGAATTATTAATTATTAACGGTAGACTGCTAAAGGCTCAGGGGGTATTAGGAGGCAGGCACTGGGTGACAGAAGCTCTGGCCGGGAGAAGCAGTTACCCTTCCCAACGGCCTGGGATTCATATAAGTGGCAGTGTGATCTTAGGTGCTTAACGGCCCCCTAATGGTCATTGGGTGGAACGCCGCTTTGTGGTGCTGCCATTTTTCCTGTTAAGATTCTTGAGGCAGCCATTTTGAGTGTGGCACTACAGCGGTGGCCATCTTGGTGGGTCCTGGGGTTAGCGGCCATCTTGGTAAGTTCCTTTTTGGGTGGCCATTTTAAAGTTAGTTCTGTGTGGCCATTTTGAGTAGGCCTCGGTTTTACATTTAGTTTTATTCCGTGCTGAGCACCAACTTACTGAGTAGATGACACCAAAGAAGGGGCAAGGGCCTTCCAAAGGTAAGCAGCCATCCCCTAAGAGACCTCAGAAGCCCCCAAAGCGGCCCACTCTCTTGAACTCTTCTGACAAGGATGAGCAGGATCCTGTCAATGCCACCATCCTTGAGAGGCTGGCGGCATGTGAAAGGCGACAGGGTGAGCATCCTCCTTCATGCGATGTGGCTAAATCGCTGCCTAATCAATCTTTTCAAGCGCAGGTGTTGGCTCGCTTGGCTCTTATCGAGGACAGACAGGGCAATGTGGCCTCAACATCGGGGCAGATGGATCAGAGGCAGCGCGCGGATGGCAGGCAGGAGAGCCAGGGCTCTGATGGGCTTCAGGTGGAGCTTTATAAAGGCCCGCCGACATGTGGAGGTAAGGTGGAGAACACCAGCCAACACACCGGCCTTGGGGCCCGGGTTCTCAGTAGAGATGTAAAATTTCCGGAAATTTTGAAGCTCGGAAAAAAACCTGGGTTTTTTCCGGGGGGAAACGGAAATTTTCGGAAAAATTGAAAAAAATGCTACATTAGCATTTCTTTTGTTTTCTAGATTGAAAGTCATTCTGTTACTTTAGGAACATAAAATATGACTATGGACATTTTTACTTGGCATGAAATTATCACAACTAGCATATTAAAAATATAGTGTATCCAAACAATTATTACAAACAGAATACCCACCCACATGCAAAAACAAAACTGAAACCTTTTTCTTTTCTTCTGAAAATAGCACCTCCTAAAGGAAGAAATGCATCTTGTTCTTGCATGATTTGGAAAATATTTGAACACCTTGTCTTAAAATATTTTATTCATCATGTTAAAATAAAATGTTCCATAATCATTTTTTTTCTTTTCTTTTCTTTTTTCAATTTTTCCAATTTTTCGGGAAAAAACAAAAAAGCTTCAGGAAAAAAATGGGGGGGGAGGGGAACGGTTTTTTCCGAATTTTTCCAGGTTTTTTCCGGGCCTTCACATCTCTAGTTCTCAGTGCACCCCAGGGTTCCCTGCCCACACCGCTCAAGACAGTTTTGGGCACCGAATGCCGGGCGGATGGTCACCCTATGTGGGGTGGGGGAGTGTGGCTCAGTTGCCACCTCAGGGTGCCTGGCCTGGGTGGGGTTACCCACATCCAGGTTCTGGTTTTGTGAATCCAGGGGGTTCTGGTTATGACACGGTTCCAGCAGGTGCCATTCCCTTTGGGGACTTGGCTTTGCCACTTGGAGACCACCTGTCCATTGCCACAAGGGAGAAAATACTTAAGGGACAGTATGTGAGAAAATCCTTAAGGGACAGTATGTGAATATCTTCAAGCTGTTATTCAGGGAGTTGGAGAAAAAAGATAAGGAGGATCTGGATGAGCGGGAGAAGGAACGCCTAAAGAGGCGTGTGGTAGATAGGACCTGGGCAAATTGGTATCCAGGTTTCTTAATTTACGTGGCAGTGATAGTGCAGAATCAGCCATTGAGGGCTTCGGCGATGCTCCAGTATATGGACATCATTTATAAAGGTTATACTGATTTCCCGAGCCCTGCATGGCTGCAGTACGATGAGGAGTTCAGGATGAGGGCAGCCATGAATCCAGCATTACGATGGGACCAAATTCACCTGCATTTGTGGCTGCAGATCATGTCTCCTGATCGTCGATCTGGCACTGAGAGGTCAGATAGTGGCCACTCCGTCCATTAGTCGCAAGGTCAGGCAGGTTCAGCGACGCCCGCTTTGCTGGGAGTTCACCTCCCATGGGACATGTAGCCACAAGTAATGCTCCTTTAGGCATGAATGTCCTTTGTGTGCGGGGTCCCATGCCCTCTTAGACTGCCCTAGAACGAAGGGTAGGTCAGGTGGTAGAGGAGGTAAGCGTTCTGGAGGAGGTGGTGGTTACAACCCCCCTCCTGACAAAGGGTCCAAGCCCGATTAAGGGGGCGGTGCTTGAGCATTGGTTGCGGGATTACCCCAACCAAGAGGACGGTGTTTACCTTTTGGAGGGTTTCACTTTAGGGTTTAGGATACCTTACATGGGGAAGAGGAGGTTGTATAGTGCTCCTAACCTGAAATCAGTTAAGGGTATGGAGCGCATAGTTAGGGGGAAAATTGATAAGGAGTGTCGGGAGGGCAGGGTACTTGGCCCGTTCCCTTCCCCACCAATTACCAATTTGAGGGTTTCCCCATTGGGTGTTGTGCCGAAAAAGGCGCCTGGCGAGTATCACCTCATTCACCACCTGTCCTATCCCCGCGGGGAGTCGGTGAATTATGCGATACCAGGGGAGTTATGTTCAGTTAAGTACACCTCGTTTGACCAGGCTATCCGGGTAGTACGTCGATGTGGGGAGGGGGCGGAATTGGCAAAGTGTGACATTAAGTTGGCCTTCCGCCTTCTCCCTGTCCACCCGGCTGATTTTGAGTTGTTAGGTTTCGCTTTTGAGGGCAAGTTTTATATGGACAGGGCCCTTCCCATGGGTTGTTCAGTTTCCTGTGCTGCGTTTGAGAGGTTCAGTTCCTTTTTAGAATGGGCCTTGCGTCACAGGACGGGATTATGCAGCACTGCCCACTATCTTGATGATTTCTTGTTGGCAGGAGGGAGCAATACTGGGCAGTGTGAATTTTTACTGAAGAGTTTCATGGGCCTGGCAGAGGAGCTGGGGGTTCCTCTTGCCCAGGAAAAATCGAAGGGTCCTACCACAAGCTTGGTTTATTTGAGAATAGAGATTGACACAGTGGGGCAGCTGTGTAGATTACCGGGGGACAAACTGCATGCGCTGCAAGCTAGGGTTGACTCGGCTAGGATGCTTAGGAAGATTACCTTGCTCGAATTGCAGCAGCTGGTCAGCCACCTCAACTTTGCATGCCGGGCATTTATAAGGAGGCTGGGTGAGTCCATAAAGGGGCTCCGTCTCCACACCATAGGACCAGAGTCACCGGGGGTATAAGGGACGACCTTCTTGTATGGCAGGAATTTTTGGAGTCGTATAATGGGGTGCCCTTTTGGCGGTATGACCTCCTAGTCGAAGTTGAACTGCAGGTCACATCTGACTCTGCAGGCTTCTCCGGCTTTGGAGTCTATTTCCGGGGGCACTGGTGTGCTGAGGACTGGCCGGAGGAATGGTTCCAGGCTCGGTGGGTCAAGGACCTTACCTTCTTGGAATTTTTCCCGATTGTCGTAGCAGTGTGGATTTGGTCAGCAGAGTTTGCCAACCATACTGTCCACTTCTGGTGTGACGATCTGTCCACGGTACATGTGATTAACTCATTGATGTCCAGGTCTACTAGGGTCATGGCCCTGGTCAGAGCCTTCATGCTCTGCTGTCTGCAGAACAATATTTTGTTCAGGGCCAGGCACGTCCTGGGGGTCAGTAACGGGGTCGCTGACGCTCTCTCCCGGAAACAGATGGGGAGATTCCGCCAGTTGGCTCCGGATGCCGACCAGTTCCCGGCTTGTATGCCAGTGGAGGTGTGGCAGATTGGCGGGTTGAGGCTGACAGGGCGATGAGTTTAGCACTTGCCCCTTCTACCCGGAGAGCTTTAAGAGGGGTTCGGAATTGTGCAGTGATGTAATTTTCAGTTATTAATAGGGTTCCTCTTACAGGTGCTGCTGGCCACGGGGCACGACAACAAGTCACTGTCTGCGGCCACAGTATGGTCTTTTGGGCCGCTCACAGGGCCAGGAGGACACCCATTGGTTCTCAGCTGGGCCTAAGCGAGTGGGCTGTCATCGAATGGTTGGGAAGGAGGGGTATGAGATGGCCTGCACTCCTTCCCCTGTTGTGCGAAGAGAGGCGGGGGCCTCCTCCACACATTTTGCTGGTGCACCTAGGGGGAAATGACCTGAGCCTGATGAAGGGCTTGGCCCTGGTGTTACGAGCTAAGGCGGACCTTACAAGGATTAGGGCAAGATGGCCCGGTGTGCAGATAGTATGGTCGGCTATTCTGCCCCACCAGGAGTGGCGTAACTTGGAGGACCCCCACTGCATTGACCGTGCAAGGCGTAAGGCTAACAGGCGAATGAGGAAGGCCATGGAGGGTGGTTTAGGGCTATTTTTGCCACACCCCAATATACGGGTCGAGTTCCAAGACCTGTATAGGGCTGATGGGGTGCACCTATCTGACAAGGGCAACGGGTTCTTTTTGCAGGACTTGCGGCAAGGGATTAGCTCAGCCTTGGCCTTTTAGTGGGGGCAAAGACCAAAGCAGAGGCTTGGTTTTGTCCGTGGCAGGTTGGTGCGGGCAAGAAACCGGAACCAGTGACCACCTGACAGCAATTTCTCCATTAGGGAACAGGGGGTCATCAGGAACTGCCTTCGGATTTTCAGGTCCAGGGTGGGGAATGGTGATCACCTCCTCTGGGAACCTCGTAGGGTATGCTCCTCTCTGCAAGTTGTCAGGCTTCAGGGGTAGGCGCTCCTATGTGGCGACCAGTTTGCTGGCCTGCCGGTCGCAAGCCAGATC